CCAACCCAAGAAAAGCTTAACCGCTCAGGACCTGTTTGGAAAAGAGATGTCTGGCGAGGTGTAAACCGTAAGAACGTTCAAGGAGTTGAAAGCCAGCAGCCTCTTCTGCATACTTCAGCAGTGACCGAAGTCTTAGCTTCCTTGGGCAACAAAATTACCCAGCCATGGTCCCTCAAAAACAAAATTGACGGCTCCGGGCCAGTCCAAGGTTTCGATACATATATATAAGAGGGAGCGTAACCTCCCCTGAGGTGTTCATCGACAGCCACCACAGCCGTCTCACATAAGATTTCTCTCACCTCTCGACACCTTCTGCGATTCCTGTCGCCTCCGGGGAAGACTCCACTTCTTGGGTTGCTGCTCCGAGACCACCAGGTGAGGATCATGGAGTTCTTGCTTTGATTGCTTAGAAGTTGACCCAGTCCTGTTCTTGGTTTGTGTTCTTGCTGGGGACTGGAATCGGTCCAACATGAGGCTCCGTGGCAGGAATGTTTATTTTGACTCTTGAGTTCTATGGGTGTTTTGACATTTGAAATCCAGCTGGTTTTGTTCTAAAGATGGATCTAGAGCTCAAATATTGGTCTCCGTTGTTTAGGTCACAAATGCACTTATGCACTCATCTTGTTAGAGCTGCCGTGGAGTTCCTGAAAGTTCGGGGTCGTTTCATTTCAGCCGGCTGCTTGTTGTTAGTGCTTTATTCTTGTCTGACCGTTGACCATGTCACAAGAGCAGATTTGTTCTTTTCAATTCTCTTCCAAGTTGCTCAAAATCACTGTTTCACATGAAATTAATTCAGATTCTCTCAAATTTTCAGGAGAAGATTCAGTTTATGGGATTGTATCGTCGCTCGTGGTCTGAAGTTCTTGGCACAGAGATCTCCAGTCCGAGGACACACAAATTCGACATGGTTAACAAAATCCCAGCTCCTTGGGATGAACAGAAGAAGAACATGACACTGAAATCACAAGGCCAAGAACATCTCTTCTCCAAGGCCACACTGATGCACTCTGTGAGTTTCAAACAGTGGCGAGGAGGAGAGGAATCCACAGGTTCAGTTCAGAATAAGAGCAAACAGAGCTTGGTAAATGGCATCCAAGACCGACGCAACTCTGACGCATTGAGCCCCAATGTTTCATCCAGCCCCAAATGTGAGCTTGATGCCGCAGCCGTGAAACTTCAAAAGGTTTACAAGAGTTACCGGACCAGGCGAAACCTCGCCGACTGCGCAGTCGTCGTAGAGGAGCTATGGTATGTATCAGTCTTTCTTCGGTTCTTGAGCATTGGAACAGCTAGTTTAACATTCAAAAGTTATAGAAATTTTAACTCTTACCGCAGGTGGAAAGCACTGGACTTTGCATCACTGAAGCACAGCTCGATATCGTTCTTCAACGGCGGGAAGCCCGAAACAGCGGCGTCGCGGTGGGCGAGGGCAAGGACAAGAGCGGCTAAGGTGACTAACATTCACTGATTCATCAAACTGCCTTCCTGGTGCCCTGTATTTTCATCAAACTTGCAGTTGAGTGACGCGATTTTGTTTGGTGGTTCAGGTTGGCAAGGGGTTATCTAAGAACGGGAAGGCTCAGAAGCTGGCATTGCAGCACTGGCTCGAAGCTGTAAGTCACATGCTACTTAACTCTAGCACTAAACTAAGATCAGTAGGTAGTGTCCTACTGTCTACTGAGATTGTTGCAGATTGTTTATTACTAATGCTGCCATTTTATGCCTTCGGGCAGATTGACCCTAGGCATCGATATGGGCACAATTTGCATATCTATTATGATGTCTGGTCCAGGAGTGAGAGTACGGAGCCCTTTTTCTATTGGTAAGTAAGCTGAGCTTGTTACTATACCTATTGTCTAGGCTTTAAATTCGCACAAATTTGGGAAACAAGTAGACCAAATAATATGCTAACTGTTTAAGATAATCTACAGGTTAGACATTGGGGAGGGCAAAGAAATAAATCTTGAGAATTTCCCTAGGAGTAAACTTCAGGGGCAGTGCGTCAAGTACCTTGGACCAGTATGTACATCAACCTAACACATCAGAAAAGTAACATTAAGTGTTAAATAATTGAGAACATCATCTGATCCTCTTTTTTCATATTTTCAACAACAGCAAGAGAGGCAACACTATGAAGTTGTTATTGAGTGTGGCAAACTTATGTTCCAAGAAACCGGGGTTCTTGTGCACACTTCGGATGACTCCAAGTGGATTTTTGTCCTCAGCACCACAAAGGCATTCTATGTTGGCCAGGTAAATGTTCTTTTTCTCTACACACCGCTTCACGTATGTACGTGATTCCTAGTCAAAGATACAATTCGCTAAATTGATTCTGACGTTTTCTTGGGCTCTGGCCTTAATGATGTGCAGAAGAAGAAAGGATCGTTTCAGCACTCCAGTTTCCTAGCTGGTGGAGCCATAACATGTGCTGGACGATTGGTGGTCAAAGATGGAATTCTGAAGGTATGTTCATGTAAAAATAATATCATTTTTTTTCTTTCTTCTCAAAATACCTGACGGTGCTCTGTTTCTTCAGGCAATATGGCCATACAGTGGCCACTACCTTCCAACGGAAGACAACTTCAGAGATTTCATTCGCTTCCTTGAGGAGAACCACGTTAGCCTCACCGATGTCAAGGTAAATACCAGATCATATCCATATTACGAGATAGATAATTTTCTGACAAGAATTACTACTGCAAGTAAATCATCAGAACTGTTGCAAATGACGCGTGATTTGTTTCAGAAATCTGCTATCGACAAACCTGACGAGTACCCGTTGCTGAGCAACTCTGACAATCAGCCTGAACATGTTGAGAATAACGAGCCAGCAGGTGCCGCTGCTCAAGATCTGACCGAAGTTGAGATAGACGGCGTCCTCACTGGCGAGGCATATCATGGATCGGCCGACCACGGTGACATGAGCGATGCTGAGGAAGATGCCGGCACTCCGGTGGACTCCCACACCACCGACACCGAAGAAGAAGAAGAAGAAGAAGAGGTCAATAATATCTCAGAGCAGCGGCCGCCGGCGAGTGTCGATCGTAGCAAGAACCATCAGACGTGCCGGTGGTCGACGGGCACCGGTCCACGCATCCGGTGCGTGCGCGACTACCAGCAGGACCTCCAGTCCAGGGCCCTCGAGCACGTCAACCTCTCGCCCAGGCTCGCCGGCTCGCCGTCGAGGAAGAGGGACCCGGTGCCCTCGCCGCGCCCCAGCCCGGGGATGATACTCTCGCCGAGGCTCGCGTCCGTCGGGTTCCAGCCTCGGACGGTGTCTCTCACGCTCCCAGACTTCAAGAGGAGCAGATTGCAGTGAACAATCCTGTTTTCGCGTAGCAGATCAGGAATTCAGAATAACAACCGGTCCATTTTTTTTTCTACACCGGCAGTTTTTTTTTAATTCTTTGCAGCTGCTGCGTCAGCACAGATTCTGAACAATCGGGCAGTGATTCTTTGAAGCTGGAACCCGACTGCAATGAATTTGTGGTGTTTTTTTGGAATTACTTTTTCTACACGGGCAGTGATTCTTTGCAGCTGCTGCGTCAGCACAAATTCTGAAAAACGCTACGTTAGCCGATTTCATTTTTTCCAGTGCATTAGAGTGAGCCAAAGGCGCGGCGTCGCGCCGTTATCATCCCTCTATCAACGGAGTCAGGCAAAACTTACAGTAGAAGACAACAGAAAAGTTGTTGTGTTAAAATCTCACAGGACCAACACACTAGCACAATAACCGCCGCCGATAAAGAGAAACATAGATCGAAATGATTCAAACTAGGCTTCTAATAAAATGATCCAAACTATAGACACACGAACAAATATTGAATCCACAATGATCCGCCGAAGACCAACGCCAATTGAACACCACAAAATTCACCGGAGACAGGCCTCCACATGCCCTCCGATAACGCTAGATGCATCGTCGGGGCGGGTGATAGACGGGAAGGAACTTATTTCTTCTTCAAGGAGCAATCACCGCCTTGCCTCCTGAATAAGACGCAAAATCTAATTGTCCTTAAGAAAGACACCTAAAAATGAAGCAGTAACCTTCGCGTCACCATCGGTCAAGATCCACCGTACCTTCATGGTCCTTAGCTCGCCCACGACCCCCTTGCAACAGAACGTGAAGCATCGATGGCAACCCACTTGCAACAATGGTCGAGTGTCGGCAACGCCCTTGCAGCATAACTGACGACCCCCATTGCAGCACAAACGGGTGGCCCTTGTTTGTAACACCAAGTGGTTGTCATTTGCAGCAGCATCGGTTGCCTTGCAGCGCCAACAATGACATGTGGTGCCGGTCACAAACAGCTTGTAACATATCCAATGACTCATTTGTAGCATCGCCATCTCCTTCCAACATCGTTGTCACCCCTCAAGTAGTTGCATTGGTCAATTGCGACATTAGCTCCATGCCACACACGTAAAGAATCCATCACAAACTGACATAGCAGAGCGTACTTGGATGCATGTGCATGCCTGCGCGCACACACCAACACAGCTAGGGTACCCGGACGAAAGCGCATACCCTGAGTACAGGAACGCAAATAATGTGCCCATCACCCACACATAAGCCCGACTAGGGTCAGCCAACTAGCTCACCAGGCAAAGAACCTCACAGATGCCAGACGGCCAGGTCCCGCGGTGGCGAGGAACACACTTATCAACAACGGTCAAACGGGCCCTAATTTATATGGTCATTGTGGGGTTAGCGCATATGGAGGCGAAGCTCAAGTTGAGAAAGAAGATCAAGGTCTGGCCTATAGATTCAATCGACTACCGTAGCACTTTCGAAAGCTTCTCTTTGGGACCTGGTAGATTAGCTCTTTATTTCTTTGAATAGCGATCGCAATGGGTTATCTATCAAACAAATCACCAAAGAAAGCTATGTGCAATGATCATTGTGAGGGCAAATGTATGGATAAATCGGCTGGAATTCCTAAGACGCGACATCCACTCAGACCACGGCCTTGAAAGACCGGGTAGGCATCCAAACCACGCCATCCGCCCCGAGTCGTGTGTCATGGAAATTGTGCCTGGCCTTTATATGGACCCCAACTGTTGTGTTGCTTTGGCCGGTGAAAGAACCCTATGGGCTTTTGTTGTTGGTAAATACAAACGCAATACAAAGATGATTATTTTCTCTCATGAAAAGCGGTGGCCATGGCATAGGCTGCGAAGCACATCATCGACATCAGGCTACTTCAACGGGCAGGCAGATGGCGACGCCGTTTCCACCCCCAACTTTCTCACAAGGCACAAGAAGCGGCGGCCACGGCGGCTTCAATCATGGGCTCATCCCTAAAAAACAGCGCAGAACCCCGCACAAGAAGTGGAGTCACAGAAGCGTACCTCACATGCCGCGAGGGGAACGTTCTCGGGTCCTACCCCGTACGAACCGCCTTTCCCAGGCCGCCAGGCCTCTTCTTATCGCCCCGCGAGGCAAAGTCACAGTAGTGTGCCGCGCCTACCGCGATGGAAACGTTCCTAGGATCTTTCCCGCGTGAACCGCTTGTCGGGTCCCGCTTCCCTCCCTAATGAGTTAAGCTCCAAACAAGGGAACAAAAACACATAAGGGGAACATGGATATACCCTGAACATAATACTTAATTTAAAAAGGAGCACAGGCCGGCGTGTACAAAACACTGATGTTCAGGAACATAATACTTAATTTAAAAAGGAGCACGAGATGGCGTGTATATCCGATTATGCCGAACAATCTATTCTAAGGCACGATGTGCCTCGCCTTCTTACACAAGAGATAAAACCAAGGACGGGCGCCGAAGATCCTGGGAAGGAAGGAACCTAGGCGCCACCAAGTTTGTTGCCCTTCCCCTACTGCACTACCGTCTACAACCACGCCAGCAACAAGGGCGGATCCACCTCCACGACCTCGTCGTCTGGATCTTCTGGGCTGTCGACAAATGGACGGTTATGAACAAGTTGCCCGGACACAAAGGAAGGAAATGGGTAACAAGGCAGAAAACGACGCTTACCCATCCGAACATACGAAGCCGTGCAGTGTTGTCGCGTGGGTTGTCAATGCGACCCCACATCCTTCGAAGAAGATGGCCCTCTCTCTGCCAACCGGCGATAGGGCGGCACGTACCGGCAGAGCCAATGAGGAGCCTGTGGCATAGTTTCCATCGTCCTCATCCTCCTCTGCAACCTTATCGGAGCCTGTCTCCAGCGTCTTCGGCCACCCAAGGAATAGGTTGGGGCGACCAATGTCGCCCGCGCCTCTGGTGACGGTGCCCCACCTATCGCACTCCGGCAAGCTTTTCAGGATATCTTCACACGTGTCGTCGGCATACAACATCCGAACGGAGGACGGGAGGCCCGGGTCATCTTCAGAATGGAACAAGGTCTGATTTCTACTACACAACCTTCTTCTTGTAGACGTTGCTGTGCCTCCAAGTTCAGAGGTTTGTAGGACAGTAGCAAATTTCCCTCAAGTGGATGACCTAAGGTTTATCAATCCGTGGGAGGCGTAGATGAAGATGGTCTCTTTCAAACAACCCTGCAACCAAATAACAAAGAGTCTCTTGTGTCCCCAACACACCCAATACAATGGTAAATTGTATAGGTGCACTAGTTCGGCGAAGAGATGGTGATACAAGTGCAATATGGATGGTAGATATGAGTATTTGTAATCTGAAATTATAAAAACAGCAAGGTAACTAATGATAAAAGTGAGCGTTAGGAAACAAGGCCTAAGGTTCATACTTTCACTAGTGCAAGTTCTCTCAACAATAATAACATAATTGGATCATATAATTGTCCCTCAACATGCAACAAAGAGTCACTCCAAAGTCACTAATAGCGGAGAACAAACAAAGAGATTATTGTAGGGTACGAAACCACCTCAAAGTTATTCTTTCTGATCGATCTATTCAAGAGTCCGTAGTAAAATAACACAAAGCTATTCTTTCCGTTCAATCTATCCTAGAGTTCGTAATAGAATAACACCTTAAGACACAAATCAACCAAAACCCTAATGTCACCTAAATACTCCAATGTCACCTCAAGTATCCGTGGGCATGATTATACGATATGCATCACACAATCTCAGATTCATCTATTCAACCAACACAAAGAACTTCAAAGAGTGCCCCAAAGTTTCTACCGGAGAGTCAAGACGAAAACGTGTGCCAACCCCTATGCATAGGTTCATTGAACCCGCAAGTTGATCACCAAAACATACATCAAGTGGATCACATGAATATCCCATTGTCACCACAGATAAGCACGGCAAAAAATACATCAAGTGTTCTCAAATCCTTAAAGACTCAATCTGATAAGATAACTTCAAAGAAAAAACTCAATCCATTACAAGAGAGTAGAGGGGGAGAAATATCATAAGATCCAACTATAATAGCAAAGCTCGCGATACATTAAGATCGTATCACATCAAGAACACGAGAGAGAGAGATCAAACACATAGCAACTGGTACATACCCTCAGCCCCGAGGGTGAACTACTCCCTCCTTGTCATGGAGAGCGCCGGGATGATGAAGATGGCCACCAGTGAGGGATCCCCCCTGTAACACCCCCAGTGTCATGCTACAGTAACCCTCTGTGATTAAGCTAACATTTTTTTAAACAGTGCTTAGTCACCTTGTTCAATATCCCATTTGAAATTCCAGTCAATTCAAATTTAAGTGAAGTTTGTAGTTGATCAAAAGTTGCTGGCAAAATGTTCATCATTTGTCAAAAATTCCATAACAATTATTTGTGAAGGAACACAACATCACTTTTGTGCAGAGATGAGCATTAGCGATTATAACAGAACCAATTCAGCATTTTAAATGCTATCCTTTTTATGAAAAATACAAATGAATTCTTCTAGTCTCACAAATATTTATGGCACTGTCTAAAGATCACCAGGGAATAAAAGAGGCACTTCCCATGTTTTTCCTAAGTAAATATCATGCCTAATATTTTTTTTACCCATCTCTGTTTATTAAATAAAAGAAAAGCAGAAAGAAAGAGGAAAGACCTAAAGCCTACTTTGCTACTAGGCCTAATTGAACTACAGTTGATGCCCAGCCCAACTCCTCCTTATCCCCTTCCTCTGTTCATTGAGCAGAGGTGTGGCGGCCATCCACCGGCGCCATAGCCGGCATGGTGCACGCGCCGGGCATCCACTACCTCCCCGTTGTCTATAAGACTACCCCAACGCCCTGGACGAACCCTAGTTCTCCTCCCCCCTTTCCCCCTCGCCGTTTTCTTCCTCTCCCGCACACGCCCGAGCTCCACCCGCCATGTCCATCGTCGTCCTCGTGTCCATCGTCCACCTCATCGGCCGAGGCCTCTACA